GGTGTTACGTATTGCTGCTGTTGAATATCATTCCAATTTCTTTAAATTTTCCTGTGTATTTTAGAAAAATCCTTTTGAGAACTGCCAGTTCACCGCCAATATTCCCAATGGTATAATTTCTTAATCTCTGATATTACCATGACTATGGCCATTTACGGCACTGAAAGGAATACAAATACAGAAAAAATCAAACTTGGAATAAATAACTCGATTTTTAATTTATTTGAAAACGGCAAAGATAAAATCTGTTTCTTTTTATCGAGTTCAGCAGTCCTGAAAATACTAGCACTTATTTAAGACTCACCCTGTATAATGTCAAATCACCTAACGGTTGGTTCAAGTAATGTCGATGTAACAATGGGAAACCCATTATTCTATTCCTGAGCCTTTGTAATTAATTTATCACTCTGAACAAATTACAAAATGCTTTCCATATGTCCGGATTTACTCGGACGTGTCCGGGTTTTTAGGGGGTTTGGGATTACCCGGCCGGAAATTTGAAACAAAAATCAAAAGCAACATAATCGTTTTAATTTATTACTCTAATTTTCTATTTTGATATTTTGTAATTAAAAACGCTTTTCCATTAATATCAAAATATATAAGAACACAATTCATCATAGTAGAAAAAGAGACCATTAAATGTAGTAAGTAGTACTAGATTTTCCCTAAAAGTATTCAATAAAATCACCCATTTCACTGATTTGCTTAGTGTTAGGTCTGCAATTGATTGAGCAAAGATTTATTTATTTTACTTTATTGTTATAGATGTCTGGCTGTAATTACTCTTATTTAACTGTTATATTTAATGTATTATTTTATATAGTAGCTGTATTTTTTATTGTATTAAATTTTTTTTTTTTTTTTTTTTTTTGTTTTATTTTTGTCATAATCAAAACGATATTAAACTACACTGAGGGTGCATCCACACCATTGTAGGAAAAGCAGAACGGCGGATTTGTGTCAGTTTCCTCCAGTACGTATTGACTGAATTTTCTTGAAATTCACCTATCAAAATTTCAGCCAATAGAATTGCCGGAGAGGCTCTTTTTTAAATCAGTTTTATTTTTTACAACGTTTTTCAATAAATGAATCATAATCTTTATAAAAATTAAAAAATTAAGAAGAAAACCAATAAGATTTTAACAAAATCACACAACTATTTTACCGATAACAAAAGCACTGTTCTCAAAGCTCGGTCTACTACCGTTTTAATCGATCTTTCAAGTAAAGATATAGAAAACGACACTCTGAACAGAATGACATATCATATGTCAACTTTTCACAGTTTCGCATATGGATTATTTGAAATTGTAACATGTGGTACATAACGAGTTAATTTAACTCGAAATACCAAGTGTGTTGTAGGTACCAAATTATCCGTAATTTTTTTTTCTAATATGCCAATTAGCCACCATTTCTCCATTTGAAAAAATTGAAATATGATTAAAATACAATTTAAGCACCTTTTAACCGGCAAGGATAAGACACGAAAAACATTAGATGATTAAATCTATTTTTCCAAAGCTATTTGATTAAGAATTGACATTTCTAACAGAGCCATGGCACTCTAGATTGAAATTTAATTTATTTTAGGCAAAAATGTCAAAAGTTGACATGTGATGTCATTCTATTCAGAGTGTTATTTTCGATAGAAAGAGTAAAAAAATACCGATGGGGTCGTTTAAACCAAACCAAATCAAAAGTTATAGTCATTTCCGGTGAAACTGGAAACAATTGAATACGTCATCAATCCTAATTTATGTCATATACTAACACATCAAATCTGTTTTTTTATCTGAAAAAATAAAAATGTTATTTTTTTTTTTTTTTTTTTTTTTTTTATTTTTTATTTGGAAGTATTTTATAGTAAATCGATCATACTCCAACATTTTGTCTACATTCTTGAAATTCCTTTCATAGACAGATCCAGTAGACATATTTTAGGTGTTTTCCATTGGTCACTCAGTATGTTTGCAATGTACAGGTATAGAAATAAAACAATTTTTAAGGGTAAAATAATCAACTATGTTTATTTGAAAAACCCGAAATAATAATAAGAAAAGCGGAGCTAGCAATTTTGGCTAATTTTTACAATAATTTTGACAATTTATTATATTTTAATAATTCTATGTCGTGGTAAACTTCATAATAATAAGTAGATGAATAAGTAGTTTATTAAATAGACAACTCTAACAGCTAATCAGTAGGCATAGAAACCTATATTGCGCTTTCTATTGACGATTGGATAATATTATACTATACAGTCGATTTCCAAAAGAAACCTATACACTTAAAAAAACGAAAAGAAATCTAAAATTACGAGAAAAACAGAAAAAACATAAAATAAAGATGGATATTAAAATTATATACACATAAGAAAATTATAATCCACAGGCGTCCAGTGAAATTTTAATTTCGATTTATGGAAAGAATTTCTTCCCAAACTTCCATAGACCGCACGCCACTGGTATAAATACAGGATGTACAAAAAATGCACGGCAAAATTTCTGTGCCTGATTCCTCATATGACAATATGAAAAGAAGTTCCTATAAACATAAACATGGGTATGGAAATGCGTAGTTTTAGAGATACAGGATGTTAAAATTAAAAAATATATATATATATATATATTTTTTTTTGTAATAATTATCTTAAAGACTGTAGCGGAGTTTCTTGAAATTTGTTAACGTTATACTTTTTTCACATTTCTTTATGAGGATTTTTAACACCCTGTAGATGAATCTAGCGATAAATCCTAGGTAGAAATCAATAAATTAGACAGAAAAATATCAACAGAACCTAAGGTTTTCAGAAGAGCTACAATCCCCGCTCTGATATGACTAAAAAACATACCATATTGTAATAGAAAGTTTCCTTAAGTGGTATAATATTGTGTTTAACGTATATATTTATATATAAAGTTGTAGATTATTTTTTTCCCAAATTTATATTACCTAAACACAACTCAAGAAACAAATTGCATTAATCCTTTAGTAGGGTTTGTCTTTCGTAGTTGAGGACGTCTTCAATGTTGACGATGTCAAACTCTAAGATGCCCTTGCCGGCAAACTGGCCAAACTTGACATCAGGTGTCTGATCCGCGGATCGCTTCGCCACTGAAAGAAAAAGTAAATCGTTAGTTTTTGCCACCAAATAAAATAAAAAATGGAAATAGTGTTAACAATTCAAAAAAAGTGTAAAGAAATTTTTATATACAAATGTTTTTACACCAACAAAGATATTTAACTTTTTACACAAAAGCTATTTACATACATTTACATACGTTATCCCGATGTCTGATCAGGAGCTTGGGGTGTTCCAAGCTCAAAAGGTAAATTCCACTCCTCTAAATACCAGTGGATGACATACCAAGAATGTACAAGTTTGACAAACACCTCACTGTAGTATTGACCAATAAAAAGAATTGGAAGGGAGAAACGTTTGCTCAACAGGTAAAATACCATACCATAACGTGGTAAACTGATGCTTCCAAAGTCAATGCATGAAAAAGCTTAGGAGCATTTGGGCCGAAAACTAAATACTCCTAACCATCGGGCACCTACCCCAGCATCCTTCAGGCAGAAATCTACACTATCGAAAGATGCGTATAAGTTATCTTAGATTGGAACTAATATCTAAACAAGAAGTATCCATCTTATCCAAGTAGTGCAAGCAGCAAAGTGATCAACTTAGTAACCATCAACTTAGTAACCATCAATTCGAAATTGGTCTGGTTTGGTCCAAAATAAAGTCCTCCTACTCTGGATGTCAGCTCACCAAGGGATAGAAGACAACGAAAAAGCAAACGATCTAGCTAGAAAAAAAGCGAACACTCCACTAACTGGACAGAACCGTTCTGTTTTCCAAGCGGAAACCAACTTAAAGCGGAACTCAAGAAGCTGGAAGACTCCATCCGCAACCCGGAATGGGAGTCCTCCAACGGTCTAAGACGCTCAAAGAAACTTCTCAGGACTTACGAGCTTACGACCGAGAAAAATCAAAGATTTTCCTTGATTTAAGTAAGAGCAATCTTCGGGTTGTCACGAGGTTTTTAACAGGACACTGTCTCCTCAACGAGTGTATTTGGAACTGCTATACAATGGCATTCATCCAAGCAGTGCAAAGTTTATAAATGTCCCGAGCTTTTATTTTTACACATTATAATGCGATATACCGTGCTGACAACTGTTACTTTTGGGTCAGTATTATACATGAGTGGTGATTATATCGCCATAATTTAAAAAATCAACTTTTTGACACATAACAAGCCATAACTTAAGAACCACTTTAGACAATGAAACTTTTTTTTATTGTGAAGATCTTTTACAATATGTGTAAATAAGAAAAATTCTCGATAGGGTTGTTTTTTTCATTAAAAAACAACCCATCCATTTACCTTTAGTGCATAGCAATTTTCAGCAATCGTGTAACTTTTTTATTTATAAAGATTTTCACATACTGTCTGCAAAGAAAATATAGCAGAAATGTTAAGAAAGTTTTTGAAAAAACTACAATCAATTATTTCTAATAGATTTCGATATATCGATTTTTGAATTCAGAGTTCTAATAGCGCGACCACTGTCGAACACCAACTCAATTCCACTTATTTTTACCAAAAATGCTTGTTTCTAACTTGCACTTAAAAATTTTCAAGTTATAGGAAAAATTACAACGATTCGTTAATAAATAAACATATAAAGTATCACGAGACGTAATTAAATCGTGAAGCTGAACGCATGATGTACACCTTTCTCTAAAACTTTAAGTACTGACAGAGGTACTGATTGGGTTGACCGGTCGACTGAGACAAATCTGCTATATCCCCTTCCACGTCTCTTAGCAATGTGCATAGTTTCTCGGTTTATTTCACACGTTTAGCAAAGTGTTTACTGTTCTCTCTTTATTCAGTACATTATAAACGCACTGTACTCTTCTTACATAAGGAAATCTCGACCCAAGACTAACCTTTGCCAGCCCCTTATTATACACAAAATTTACATTCAAAAAGAAACTCTCACGAGCGATGGCAGAAATAGATGAAACAATTTGTAATGCTTTTCGAATTATGGAGAAATTAACTATTCCAAGCTTTATACACATTTTAGGTTAGAATACGACTCCTCTTGCAGTTAGAATTGTTGATCGATAGGTGCAGCAACCTCGAACATGTCTTGTTCCATTGGCTTGGTAACACACACTCCTAGTTGTGTTCTTACACTTTAATACAAAGCCTGTCTTGCTACCTGAAGGAGTAAGAAAGACTGTGTAGAATAATTAGGAAAGAACCCTCAAACAAATAATATATAAAGAATAATATAAATAGACCAACATTACTAAACAAACAAAAGGTATATAGAGAAAAACTTTGTGCGCTGATCATCAATGTCAAAAAAATATTGGAACGCAACGATAATACCAAGAAAACAAGGTATGATATTGCGCAGGTTGTGGTCACTCCGCGCGCCAATTTCAAATCGTCAAACTGATGACAGATAATAAATGTGAAAATGATTTTTAAATGTCAAGCTGAATGATTTGACATGGCTTTTGAGGTTAGGTCCTAATTCTTCCCTATTTTAGGTCTTTTTATTAGTGAGCGAATTGAACAATATGGATATTTTTTTTTTGTATGGCGTATGCCGTCACAGGTGATGCGCAAACTGAACGAAATTGGAGCCGCATTCGTTTTTCGGTTCTTTTCTTTGTATCATGAAACTAACTATTAATCAAAATTCGTACAAAACTGTGACGCGGTCGCCATTTCACGTTCACAATATCGAATCGTAACGAAAATCAACAAAACACCATAAAATTTTTACTTATCAGTCTTATTTTTAGAATTCTGGAAAGTATTTCCTAAAATAAAAAGAAAAAATAAATTGAATTGTTGAAGTTTTTGAGCATATAATTGAAAATATTGCGATTTTGTGTAAATTAAAATCATATACAGGATGTCTATTTGAAGTGAAACATCTTACTAACAGCTTTTAAATTGAAGGACATGTTTAAAAAATGACATACTATAATGATGTTTTAATACCGGGTGCGTCTCAAAAGTGGCTCACACCTATAACTTTTTTATTTTTTCAGATAAAAAAAAATGAGATTTAGTATGTTAGTATATGACATAAATTAGGATTGATTGGTGTATTCAATTGTTTTTGGTCACTTCCTGTTTCAGCAGAAATGACTACAATTTTTGATTTTTAAATGGCACCCTCGGTATTTTTTTACTTTATTCGATAGTTATGACACTCGAAATAGAATGGCATATCATATGTCAACTTTTGACATTCTGATTCACTTGACGTCAATCAATCCTAATTTATGCCATAGACTAACATCCCAAATGTCGTTTTTTTAACTAAAAAAATAAAAAAGTTATAGGGGTGAGCCACTTTTGAGACTCACCCGGTACAAATATTATTTTCAATTAATTTACTTCTGTAATCTGTACACTTTTTGTTTCCTCAATAGCTTTAAATCAAATATTTATACAGGGTCGCTTTTATGTATGGAAACGATTATTAGGTAAAATATAGGAAGTACCGCAAAAAGTTAAATATAAAAGTTACAGGGTTTACAAATATCTATTAGCGGGTAATAAATTTAAATATACAGGGTCGGTCATAAAGTCGTGGCACATCAAAGTTTTTTTTTAAATGGAACCCCCTGTATATTATTGCATATTTCGGTTCTTCCTTCGATTCGAAGCAAAAATCGAAATACACACAATGTACCTCAAACCAACCGTTTCCGAGTTATTGACTTTTGATATCACTTAAACAATTTGATTTAATTAATTTCGATATGTTCAGTTTCATTTAACCATGAACTGTGATACTTTATAATATTTGACATTAGTTCTCAAGTTAGCATTTATAGATGTATAAAATGAGAGTATATCAAATCTGGAAATTACAAAATTTTCGTTTAACATTTCAATTCTTCAATTTATGTACATTGTGTATTACTATTATTGCTTAAAATTGAAAGAAGAATTGAAATATGCAATAATATACAGAGGGTTTCCTTTAAAAAAAATAGTTATATATGAACTTGATAACCGACCTTGTATACTTAAATTTACTAGTAGCTAATAGAAATTTAAAAACCCATTACAACAGTATTACAGTTTCAGCAGAATGGCATCATTAAATCAAACCAAATACATCAAAATTAATTAAATCGAATTGTTAAAGTGATATTTTCAAAAGTCAATAACTCGGAAACGGTTGGTTTGAAGTACATTGTGTGTATTTCGATTTTTGTTTAGAATTGAAGGAAGAACTGAAATATGTAATAATATACAGGGAGTTCTATTTAAAAAAAAATGAAACTTAGATGTGCCACGACTTTATGAACGATCCTGTATACTTAAATTTATTACTCGCTAAAAGATATTTAAAAATCCTATAACTTTTGTATTTAACTTTTTGCGGTACCTCCTATATTTTACCTAATAATCGACCGTTTCCATACATAAAAGCGACCCTGTAGAATACCTCATCACTGACTGCGTCGAGACGGGAACCATTCGCGGTTATTAACCCCCTTCCAAACATTCTACATTCATACATTTATAGCCACCTCAAAGAATTTAATCTAATCCCATATAATTTTATACAGGTTGTTAATTTATTGCTCGCGGCAAAAGCGTTATGGTTGAAATATGACAACCTTGGCCCGCTCACCGACCGATGCCGCGACGGGACGAGTCGGCAGAAAACCCTATAAGTGCATGCGTTCCCAATAGGCAGTGTTGCCATTCTGTTTCCCTATAAGTAACTGTGCGGTTAGCAACCTGTATACACAATGACAGCGATCTTCAATGACGCAGTCTAAGTATAAAAATATTATTAAAAAAGTTTAAAAACTCACCTCCTCCAACATATTTCTCTAATTTGTATATCGGCATACCGCCGCACTTCGTTGTCGATGTACGACCCGATTTCAGTCATGTCAGTGACAGGAGGTGTCACAACTCATCGTCTCTCTCCACAACGTCAGTGTCGACCTTGTAGTACCCCTTCCCACATTTTCTGAACCAGATCAAAGAGCGAACTGGGCGGTAGAACGTTCTGTCTATTCAATGGCATCACGAAACATCTTTTACCTGAAAATCATCAATTTAGTAAAAGTTTGTCATATGTCAATTTTGATACTCCACCCCTCATATATATATTTTAAAAAAATACAGTATTTCAATTGACAACCAGAGCTGCAACAAGTCAGTTTTAAAAAGACTTAAGTCTCAAGTCTTAAGTCATTTCTAAAATCATAATGATATAAGTCTTAAGTCAATTTCAATATAAAGTTCAAATGACTTAAGTCATTTTCTTTCAAGTCAAGTCATTTTTGTAAAGACTTAAATCAATATAATTTCCCTCCAAGTCAAGACAACCAGAATTCAATTTAAATACCTATTTTTTAAATGTTAATATTAATTTTATTGTATTACCCATTACCGATTTTTTATTATCTATATTAATTTATTGTAGATACAGATTAGAATAAAATATTATATAAACAACTATAATAAACAATAAAAAATAAACTCAAAATCAAGGACAAAACACACATAAAAACAAAAAAACGCACATATAAAAGCAACATCAAAAACTTAAATAAAATTAAATTTTGTGGGACTTTGTACAGGTTGTCCCATTCTTTGTGTGTTTTACAGGGTTTCTCGTTTATGAGCAGCGGTACAAAGATACAGTTTTCACAGTTACTACTTTATTATGAAACTAAAGATGGTAAACACATATTTGATTCCGTTTTAAATTTACGATAAAAATATATGACAAAGACTTAAATCTTTTCTAAAAAGACTTAAATCTCATAAAAGACTTTTTTTAAGATTTAAGTCTTTTGTAAAATGAATTAAGTCATTAAAAAAAGATTTAAGTCATTACATGTTTTCTAACAAAAACTTAAATCTTTTTTAATGACTTAAATCTTTTTCTATTTCGAAATAAAGACTTAAATCACAAGCCGTTTTGAAAATGACTTAAATTTTAAGTCATTATGTCTATAATTTTAAGTCTTAATATGACTTAAAATCAAATGATTTAAGTCACTAAAATGATTTAAGTCAAAAAAAGACTTAAGTTTTTTGTGAGCTTACAGCTCTGTTGACAACATAACTTTTTCAAAAAGTTTATACCCCATGTCTTCATTTCTATAGATCATACCAAATAAACTTTTAGTCACGTGATTAAGCTTGACGGTTACAGCATTGCCGGTTTCTACATATTTTCTTTTAATCAAAACATTTTAGTAAACAAAAATTAATTCGTTATAAAAATATAAAGTTAATATTTACATGAACGAAACTTAACCCCTAACATAAGTGGTCATTACTACCGCTTTCCAAAATATTCTAATAAGGTTGCGACGAGTTTTTTGCAACGGCTGTTAAGCTGCTTTGTATAGTTCGCACTAAAAGCGGTTGTAAAAAGAACAATGTCCGGCTGAAAGGCCTGCTAGTAAAATTTCTAAATTTAAAGTACCACAACACAATTAACTTAAACCAAAAACTCGTAATACAAAACTAAAGTGTCAAAACGAATCAAAATATCAGGAAATAAATAAATAAATGTGACAACTTGACATTTTTTACAGCAGGGCTACCACCTGAATCGCCAGGGGAAAATTTAAATTCCAGTTAGTCAGCCCGGCGCCGAATAAGTACATGGTTGGCAACAATGAATTTAATAATCGCGCCCTCGATGACGTAACTAAAAGTTTATTTGGTATTGAACACTTATTATGACACTTTCACTGTCAAAGTAGTCAAAATAACAGCTCACTGAATAACACACATCGTTGCCAAATGTCTCAAATAATGTAAATTATTAATAAATACCTGTTACGTCAATGATTCCAGTGTAGTTTGTATTGAAATCGTGAATAAACCTTCCACTACGCCCATTTCTGAAGTCAGGTACGTCAATCTTTTCGTATTTCTGCTCTGGATCGATTTCAAAACTTTCCTGGAAATATCTTCTGTTCAAAATCCTTTTCCAGTCCATTTTTCCATTGTCCCTAAAATACAATTTTTCTTTAATATAAAAAATCTAAAGATATAAAATAATAAATCTATATTACCAGTCCTTCAGTTGTTGGTCATTTTGAATTTGAATCAAGTTATCGTCATTTTCTGTATTGTCATAATCATCGTCCATAGGAGAACTAAAAAACAACCATATAATATAGGAAAACCATTTATTCTCCAGAAGAATATGTTTCGACCTAATTAGTCCGAAAACTCGTTAGAGTTAAAAAATTTCAAAAATTTTCGATGGAAATTTTGTCATTTCCAACATTATCGATATAAGTAAGAAAATGAAATTTGCTGTGCACTAT